AAAGCTAGAGAGAAGCTCGACATGACACGTGGGAGAGACCTCAGGGACAGCCTTGAGGCAAGGAGGGAAACGGAAATGAGAAGTAAACTAATGGAGCAGCGTGTTGGGAGTCAACGAGCTAAGTTCAGGGAGGCGGGGTGCAAAGAAAAAACAAATGGAGGCAGCAGGGGGTATAGCAGGAACCATGCGTCGGGGGGACATAATGGGCGCCATGCAGATCTAGAGCGGGTCGACCCACTGGGGGGACCCGGTATGCATGGGAACCGGGAACGACGTAGGGGCTATTACGTGAGGAAGGACAGGTCAGATCTTGGGGAGAGACATCGCTTGGAACCAACTTCTTGGAGAGAGGGAGATAATAGGAAGAGGAGGCCGAGGCAGGTGCAGAAGGGACTAGTAGAGAGGATGAGTTCTTTCGCGATACAAGGAGGAAGACTTCCTCGGTGTTTGACCACATCCGTAACAATGATGATAAAGCGGTGGCCCCTGGTGCTCAGAGCCGCCGAGAGCAATGAATCTCCTTGCCTGGAACTGTCGAGGACTGGGGTTGGACTCGACAGTGGGCGAACTGCGGGACCTTATTAGGTCTCACAACCCAGCGGTGGTGTTCCTTTCAGAAACAAAAAAATCAGCTAAAGCGATGGAACGTTTGAAATGGAGTCTGGGATTCACTAGTGGTGTTGCGGTGAGTTGCAATGGGAGAAGTGTTGGTTTGGCTTTGTGGTGGAGGGAGAATGTTAAAGTTACAGTGAGGTCGTGGTGCCAATACTTTATAGATGCTGAGATCGAGTGGGAGTGTAAACTCTATAGGATCACTGGATTCTATGGAGAACCCAAAACCGAGTTGAGGAAGAAATCATGGGATGCTATCCGCTTTCTTCGGGCTTAAGATAACCTACCGTGGCTATGTGTCGACAATTTTAACGAGGCCCTCTTCCATACTGATCAGGTGGGGGGTAACCCAAGGTGTTTCAATCAAATGGAGGATTTTCGAGATTGCTTAGCCGACTATGGCCTGGCTGATCTTGGCTTCACTGGCTACCCCTACACGTGGGATAACAAAAGGGATGGAAAGGATAATATTCAGGTTCGGTTGGACCGTGCCACATGCAATGATGGTTTTTTGAGTCTTTTTCCTGAGACTTCAGTAGAGCATCTTCTCTGTGAAGAATCGGACCACCAAGCCCTCCTGGTACGTATGTTAGAGACGGCTCCACAACGCTCGAGGATGGGGGAGCGGCCGTTCAGATATGAGGAGGCTTGGACCAGACATGATCAGTATGAGGCCATGATAGCGGAGGCTTGGGAAGCGGCGAGCACGGGTGAGGAGGGGGTAACGGCAGTTTGGCAAAAACTTGGCAAAATGGCAGGCTCGATGCAGAGATGGGCGTGAGAGGTTTTTGGGTCGATACGAAGGAAGATCAAACAGCTAAAAGCCCAACTTTTAGAAGCAAAGGAATGGGCGCTTAGCTCGGGTTATCAGCACGAGGTTCGGGAGCTAGAAGAGCAATTGAGGGAGGTATATGAAAGAGAAGAACTTATGTACAAACAGCGCTCCGGAGTGGATTGGCTAAAGGCAGGTGATCAAAATACAAAGTATTTTCAGAACTGGGCATCGCATCGTAAAAGAAAGAATACCATCAAGGCTTTGCGACGACCCGATGGCTCTAGGTGTACAATGGACGAGGAGATGAGAGCCATGGCAGCTTCGTTCTATGAAGAGTTGTTCAAGTCGGAAGGATCGGTGGGGGTGGAGGGAGTGCTACAAAACATTCAGTGGGCGTATTACACAGGAGATGAACACGGAGTTGATAGCGAGTATTTCAGATTCTGAAATAGAGACGGCTCTATTTCAGATGGGGCCGACTAAAGCCTCGGGGCCGGATGGGCTCCCCGCGCTCTTTTATCAGTGACACTAGTCGCTACTCCGGGATGACATTTGCAGAGCTGTGTGGGATTTCCTGGGTGGAGTTGCTACACCAGAGGGTTTTAATGCTACATTGATAGTTATGATTCCAAAAGTCAACTCGCCGGAGCTGTTGTCCCAGTTTCGACCGATTAGCTTATGTAATGTGCTGTACAAGATAGCAACAAAGGTGTTGGCCAACCGATTGAAGGGTATACTTCCGTTGCTTATATCAGAGGAGCAGAGTGCTTTCGTCCCTGGGCGCCTTATCACAGATAATGTGCTAGTGGCCTATGAGTGTGTCCACGCCATTCGCAACAGGAAGAGGAAGAGACCCTTATGTGCTGTGAAGCTTGATATGATGAAGGCTATGAACGTGTTGAGTGGGTGTTCTTGAAGCAGATGATGGAACGGTTTGGATTTGCAGAGTCATGGATAGAGATGATCATGCGGTGTGTGACGACGGCAAATTTCTCGGTAAAGCTCAACGGTGCATGTTCTAGGTGCTTTTTACCCTCCCGAGGCCTCAGACAGGGAGATCCTCTGTTGCCTTATCTGTTCTTATTTTGTGTTGAGGGTTTCTCGGCTCTGTTGAGGAAAGAGCAAGCAGAAAATAGACTGAAAGGAGTGACGTTGGGAGCACTGCCCCCCATGTAACGCATCTCCTTTTTGCAGATGACAGTATTGTGTTCTTGGAGGGCTCCACTGAGTACCTAGAGACTCTAAGGGAGATCTTAGTGAGTTACGAGCAAGCTTCGGGACAGAAGGTGAATTTGCAGAAATCTTCGATTTTCTTTGGCAAGGGCTGTCAGGACAACACTAAAGAAGAGCTCAAGGCGGTGCTGGGGGTGACCTCGGAAGCACTAAGTGAACGGTACCTTGGTCTCCCAACACTGGTTGGACGATCAAAGGAGGGCATCTTTCATTATGTAATGGAGAGTTCAAAGGGTAAATGTAGTAGATGGAAGGGTTTAGGCCTTTCAAAGAAGGCAAGGGAGGTTCTTATCAAGTCTGGTCTCCAAGCAGTACCAACCTTCACCATGAGTTGTTTCCACCTCACAAAGAAAACATGCCGGAATCTGAATTCTATCTCGTCAAAATTCTGGTGGGGGGCAAAGGATGGTGAGAAAAAAGTACATTGGATTTCATGGCAAAAGATGTGCACCTCGAAAAGGGATGGAGGTATGGGTTTCCGCGACCTGACAGTGTTTAATCAGGCTCTTCTTGCAAAGAAAGCCTGGCGTGTCTTACAATTCCCAGAGGCGTTAGTGGCAAGAGTGCTCAAGGCACGCTACTTCAAAGAGGAATCCATTTTGAGCGCAACGTGTCCTGCTACAGCCTCATACACTTACAGAAGTATTTTGCATGGCCGGGATCTACTTCGCGAAGGCTTGGTGTGGAGAATTGGAGACAGATCCAAGGTGAGTATACATCACAGTAACTGGATCCCAAGAGGCGGGTCCATGAAGCCATTGGGACAGACGTATATACCTGGCATGACGAAGGTGGCAGATCTCCTGTTGCCGGACGGAAGGAGCTGGGATCGCGACCGAGTCAGGGAGATGTTCACCCCGGATGATGCTAGCGACATTTTGCAGATTGTGGTGGGTGGTTTGGATGCTGATGACTACCAAGCTTGGAATTTCACAAAGAATGGAATCTTCTCTGTTCGCTCAGCTTATCACTTGAAAATGGCCATGCTCAGATCGCGCTCCGGACGGCCGGAGTCATCTAGCTCGGTGAACAAACACAAGGCGTATATGGCCCTCTGGGGCACGAATGCACCGGGAAAGGCCAAGATCCATCTTTGGAGACTAATTTCAAATGGACTGGCAGTTGGAGCAGAGCTCCATCGATGAAGGATAAAACCTGGGGTTTTCTGTGTTGCTTGTGGGCGTGAAGAAACTATATTTCATTGGTTTTGGGCGTGTCCACACTCTGAACTTTTTTGGCGGCTATTTCGATCGGAGATGGGAGATTTGGTGGCGATCCCACCATGCCAGTTGGACTCCCAGAGAGAGATAGCACATTGGCTACTACAGTGGCTAGCGGGAGCTTCCGATGAGGCAAAGCAGGCAACGATGCAGGCATTATACAGCCTATGGCTGTCGAGGAATGAGACACGAGAAGGGAAAATGATCAAACACCCACACGAAATACTGGGTGTGGTTTTGAGGCAAATGGAGGAGTGGAAGATGGCACATCCCGCATCAGATAACACTCCGGCACGCTTGCAGATTCAGAAATGGGAGCCACCGGATGAGGGCTGGATCAAGGTGAATTCTGACGGCGCAATATCCAAGATGGGAAACAAGGCTGGAGGTGGGGCTGTGCTACGGGATCATATGGGGGCATTCAGAGCTGGTATGTGCCACCACTTCCAGGAGTTGGTCGATCCTGAGGTGGCTGAGCTCTTGGCATGTAAGCGGGCTCTCGAAGTAGCAAAAGATATCAACGAGACGCACGTGCATGTCGAGCTAGACGCTAGAGGAGTCGTGCAGATGTTGAAGAAACACACTAAGGAGCTCTCGCCGTCTGGGCCTCTGGTGGAGGAGATCAAATCCTTGATGCAGTCCTTTGTCGACTCTAAGGTGTCTTGGGTTAGACGTTCTGCTAATGCTGCCGCGCATAAGCTAGCTAGAGTAGGAGTTGGTGATGAACTTTGTAAGGTTTGGTTGGGGCTCCCCCGGATTTCGTTCTTTCTGTTTTGTCGGATGAGATTCCGAACATCGTAATTTAATAAATGCGGTAGTATTTTCCCTAAAAAAAACACCGTTGAGATATTTGAATGGCCTCATGACAAGTTGTGACTGTACATAAGCAGTGACATTTCCGAGTGCAGAATGACATGCAACATTCTTTTCATAGGCCAGCAGCAGCAAACTTCATAATCTGTATTCAAATATACGATCTCCTGGCTAGTAGTACGACCGGCCACATGCACGTTAGTAGCAATATACTTACATGATATGTTTTCGTAAAGCGCAGCACCAACAGACCTAGCGCTACTCTGCTAGTCTTGTTTTCTAAATAATCCATTGGCTCGGTTATTCCCGCGGCAAAATATATACTTCTGCCCGTAATTTGCGCTCGCCTAAGCGCCGTGCACTCCGAAGAGCTTAAGCGCCCCGTAGGTGGTGGCCATGGCGAGCCACCCTCCCACCAGCACCCGGGCCCCGGACCGCACCACGCTCGCGCCGCCCAGGTACGCGCCCAGCACGCCGAAGCCGGCAAGCCCGACGCTGCTCGCCGCGCACACGGCCACAACCCTGCCCGCCCACGTCCGCACGAACCCGCCGCTCAGAAGCGGCAGCGCGGCGCCCGCCGCGAACGCCAGGGCCGACGCGCCCGCCGCCAGCATCGGGCTCGGCAGGTTGCTCCTGTCGCCGTCGCCGCCGCGGATGCGCTTGATCTGGGCCACCTCGATGTCGTACTGCGCGTACACGGACACGAACTCGCCGATGGCCATGCTGCAGGCGCCGGACACGAGCCCCGCGACGCCCGACACGAGCATCGCGCGCTTGGAATCGTTGACGGCGCCAACGCCGATCATGAGGGAGGCCACGGTGACGAGGCCGTCGTTGGCGCCCAGGACGGCCGCGCGGAGCCACTGTGCGCGCGCTACGTAGTTGACGCCGTCGCCGCCCGGGCTGCCACCACCCGCCTCCACGTCGTCGTCAACGTCGGCCGCCGCAGGACTGATCTCTTCTTGCTTCGGCTTGGCGGGGGACTTGGGTGCGGCGTCCGCGGCCGCGTGGACGTGCGAGCTAAGGTCGGCGGCGGGAGCCATGGACGCAACACACCGCGGGTGTAATGAGATGAGCTCTAGCACTGTTGTGTGCAAATGGGAACCTGGACTGGAGCGTGGTAACCACACTCGCGGCGGCCGGGGTATTTATAGGGAAACTAGCTCATCGTCATGGATTTTTGTTCTAGCACTGTAAAAAAAATGGAATGACACGTGGCCACACATAGAGATCAACTTTCTGTGAGTCGCACGCCTTCGGCGGGTATTATATGGGCACTGCAAAGAGTTTTGATTCGAAATAGCGAGTTTTCTTTTTCTTTATTAATTGATCCAGAGACGTGGTGCGACGTTTCTTCTCTCTCGGTTGAACGTGGTGCGACATCTGGGACGCGCTCGAGAACACTTCGGGCCGGTGGGATTCCATTTCCACGAGAGTAAAAACGGCACGTTCGCAACTTTTTTTGAACAACGGTACAAACGCAGGCGCTCATACATCCATCCCACTCGGTTGTCTGAGGGCTGCTGCACTGTGAAACTTTCGCTCAGAGCATCCCACGAAAATTTTCGACGAATCCGCAAAACTGGGAAAGAACGGCATTTGGCTTGTTTTGTTCCAGTCTCACTCCATTCCTCTGATACACAAATGCGAACAGAAGCATCAGCACAACCGGCCACCAACTTACTGGAAGATGAAACTTGTGAACAGATGTGCTCATGTTATCCGCCTAAAGCTGAACGGGTTCAGAAGCTTGCTTGCGACGCCTCACAGCTCAACATTTTCAGGAAACATTTGCGGTATCCTGCTCTCCTTGGAGCGGATGTAGCGCGTTCTCAATGGAAACAAGCAAAAGGGATGATGAAGATGATTCCTGCCGTTACTTTACTCATTTACAGAGACGCGTTTGCTCTGAAGAAAAGGGCAGATGCCACAAGAAAGGGAAATGGATACACATAGGCCAGGCTGAAAGCAGAAACTCCAACGTTGCAAGCAAGCTCGAAGCTGCCATTTTCGATTCTAGGAGTGCGCTTTACAGATAACCAGGTAGTACAGAAGCATCAGTCGCAAAGCAAGTAAGCAGAATTCATGGTTTCATACTGCTCCGTGCACAGAAATTTCAGCTCACAACATCAACGATCCAGCGCACCAAGAGCACTAGTACAAAGAGCTGCTGACATGGAACAAATAAATAGTTCAGTATGATGATGATTATATATAATTCCAAACACACACCAGTGGGTTTCCAGCAACAAGAATCCTGTCGGTTTTGCTTTTATGCAAAACACTATCAACAGAGGCGGATCATGAGACTGCTTGAGTTTGAGAATGAGGTGCCGTAAAACAAGTGCCAGTTGATGGTTATATACATAGCTCATGGAGATATCCTCACTCATCAATACGGACTACCGATCTTACCGTGTAATAGTATCCTGTGTGATTGGCTGATTGGGAGCCTTCGTCCGTTAAGTTAGGATCTATCGAATGAATCTTGCATTCTAGATCTACTACGGGAGAGCAGGTTCTCCTTTATATCTTTGAAAGATTCAAGCTCCTCGAATGCATCAGACGTTCTACGGGACATGAACGAGCTGGTGTTGCCTGCTTCGGTAGATTCAGCCCTTGATGTAACAGATGAATTGCTAGGATCTCGCAACGGACGTGCAGACCTCAGCAGATGGACAAGATAGCCAACCGCAGCATCTTGTGATTTATGCGAGGACGAAGCCGACTGGTCCTCCTTACCACCACTGCTCCTGTAAAGTGCATGTCATGGAAGCACATCAAATTTTGCTAATCAGTAAGATCTACTCCCTCTGAGAACATCACATATAAGACGTTTTAGATCACTAGTGATCTAAAACGTCTTAGCTTGTTTACAGAGGTAGTACTAAATAGGGTTAGGAACAGCGTCTCAAGTACTAAACATCACATATAACATATACATGTAGCATATACTGCTTATAATTAACTAACTGGATACCCAGGTCATGAACCACATGGAAATATCTGCCAAATTTGAAGCAGGACTCAAACATACCCAGGTCTGGAATCAGGTGCATCGACATCATCCACAGCAAAAGGAAGATATGCATCATCAGTATCATCTTGCGTAGACAGTCTGCTTGAACTCCTTGAAATCCCATGTCGTGGGGAACCACTAGAGGAGAAAACACCTGAGAACCTACCAGATTCCTCCCTACTGTCCTTAGTCTGCATATAGGCCAAAAGATATAGACTTAGCAGGCATAAAACCTAGTCTATCAACCTTGGTTTATACTGAGTGCAATGGAAAATGAAGGCTAAGACTCATATGCTGCTCGTCATAGGTGTGAAGAGTGGTGACCCGTTTGCCTGCCACTTTGGGCATAAAACTTTACCAACATCCAAACATCCCCTCACACTTGCAGTACACAGGTTGTGGACCATGCGAAAAAGATAAGAAGGAAATGCCCATAATATGTCGGAATTAGTTTTTTATAAGATGTGGCCCACAAATCAGTTAGCGGAAACAGACACTTGAGGATTTGTTAAGCAGAAATGGAGTGGACACAAAAGTTATTTTGGGTAAACTAAATACTGATTTATGAAGAAGACGTGCTTAGAAAACTCAAGCAGGTGCACCGACTGGTATTCCTTGTACAAGAACGGCTACGACACCAGGCACTCCACGGAATACATTACACCAACAGGAGTTGAACTCTGGTACTCCAAACATCATAACTCAATTAGAGTAGGCGGGCTTATCTCTCATGCGGCCCCACCAACTGAGACTGAGAGATGCTCAGTTATGAAGAAGACGTGCCAATTTGGCTTATTATATTAGAAAAAAAACAAGGACATATGATTAGAAATAAAATCTTAGAAATCCACTGATTTCTGATGTGAACACTATGTTTGTCAGCTATCTGCATAGTGATTTCCAGTATCAAATATGAATATAACAAGTTTCACATCTATCTTGGCAGAGTTATTTCCACTCCCAGATATGAATACTACAACAAAATTAAGATTTTCAAGTTTTGACATATAATGTGAAGTACAAGATATATATTTATTCCCCCAAAATAATATGTATATTCACACAATAACATTCTCACCAAAAGTTGATAACCAATATTTCACTACGACCAAGTATGTGTAATGCATAAACTAATTTATGAATTGCATCAGGGATACAGAGGGGGTCTATTGGAAAAGGGTGAGCTTACGCAAGGCCTTATAAAACTAGCAGCCAGGATATAAAATGCACCAGAGGTCCTATAAGTATCACAAGTATGTCAAGTTGGTCCTAAAAGTATCAAAACGCATATTTCAGGAACTTGTCTATTTTTGGGACTCAAATATGCATTTCAAACTGTTAGGACTAACCGACTAAGGTTATTTAGTCTGGACAGGTTTGACCTACAAAGAACCAGGAGAGGTGTGCCATTTCCAAAATAAGAAATTCAAATAAATAAAATAACATGTCAGCCTTCGAGCAATTCTAGAGAATTCTATGCTCCCATCGCGGTATGTATGTAGTATGGGTTGACAATACGATAATCATTAGTAATTAGACAAAATTCAGTAAAAAGAAGGTGTAGTATGCTGCAGCACCCTAGGTTACAAGATTATGAAAATCATATCATACCAAGTGCCAGTCTGGAGTGATACAAATTATGCCACTGTAACTATCAGGCTAAATGTTCGAGAAATAATATCAGGCTAAACCAAACAAGTTATGCATACTACCTGCAGAATTGGTGAAGGGGAGATTTATCAACATAACTTTACGGTTGGGTGCATGTGTTCCCGTGGCCTTTCGACTTTAATGGGACTACTAAAATTACCAAGATTCCACCCTACTTGACACAATATCATATCAACCACCCTTATAAACTCCGTCCAGGCTGCATTTCGGATACCATAACAATCTGTACTGTCCTTGAGTTTTCAGTTATGCACACAAACATCATCAGTTAAGCATATGCATTGCAAACGCGAGGAATCACCTTTGGAGCAGCAGGCAAGTTAGCGTAGAGATCGGCTATCCGGAGCCCCTCTGCCTTCCGGGATGAGCGGCCGCTCTCTGTGAGTGACTCGTGTGACCGTGCCTCCCCTCGCACGCTCTTGGGTGAAGGTGGAGGTAGCATGAACCCCCTGCTGGGATCGGACATGTTCCGATACTGGACAGGGCCCCTCCCTCCGCCCGCTTGCGGTATGCTCATTGGTGCGGTCTCCCCGCACAGCCGCGACTGCAGGTAGCCGCCACCGAACGTGGGAGGAGATGGCGTGGGAGACGCGTACAGCGTTGGGGGCGGTGAGAACTTGGCGTGCTGCCCGGGCGACTGTGGCCAGTAGGCACCAGCAGGCGACGCCCAGCTGTTGGGGCGGCGTGAGGGCAGCGGCAAGGCCGAGCTGGCAGGCTCTGTGAGCGACGACGGGAAGGAGCGCATAGGCTCCGCTGCCGGGCTCCCGACGTAATCGGTGATGAGCATGGCGGAGGAGAGAGACGTGATCTCGAAGTTGTAGGCGGCGAGGCTGGGGAGGTACTGGACGGACACGACCAGGCGGCCGAGGTGGGTCTCTACGGGGGGGAAGCCGCGGGTGCGCATGGCCGCCTCGTCGGCGCGGGAGAAAGGGGCGGCGAAGGAGCCGACGCGGTGGCCCATCTCGTAGTTGTAGCCCTGGCCGGACGCGCAGAGCGTGCGGAAGACGCGGTACGCCGGGAGAAGGCGGAGCGTGGTGTAGAGCGACCTGAGCAGCGTGATGCAGCGCTTGTACGCCCTGTTGACGGCCAGCCCTTCCCCCGCCTCGGCGGCCGCCCTCTCCCCAGCCGACCAGGGCTCGCACGCCACCGTCCACCTCTCCACCACCTCCTCCTCCTCCCCGCCGGCCGACGGGGCCAGGTACACGTCCACCACGACCGGCTCCCCGAGGGCCGGCTCCGGGACGTGCTCCGCCGCGGGCGGCGCGTGGAGCGGCAGGTGGAACCACCTGTCCCGCCTCCGCACCGCCGCCGACGCTGGCGCCGGCGCGATCGGGCGCGGCGCGCGCGCGGCGA